AAATATTCAGTGTTGGTTCTGGGAACGTAAAAAACGCCCAGTTTTCTTGACATCAGAGGAATGTGTTCTAAAAGGTCTGATGTTCCCCAAACGTTCTTTCAACTTATTTTTTGATTTAAAATTCAACATTCTAGGAACGTTGATTTGTAACATTCCAAGAACATGAAAATGTCCCATTTCCTTAACGTTAATAGAATGTTATTTAAAGGCTAGTTTGATGTTCCTGAAACATTCTTTCAAACATTCAACCAGCGGCTGTGAACTAGCACTGAAAGAAAGTGTAATAAGAACAAACTACAACTGACTTCAGCCACAGCCTTAGATGAAATCAACTGAAATAAAAGACATTAAATCTCTCAAGATCTCAGCATTGTACATCACTATAAAGTTGCTCTATATTCATAATCCAAATACTGGACAGCTGATTAAGAAAGAGCGTCCTCTGCAGGACACATAATGCACTTATGAGAGCTGAGGGAAAGAAAAATCAGCGTTAAAAGTGAATAACATTCATTTATTAGTGTCTTTAATACACACCATTTAACTCATAGTGGATTAAATGATTAACCCGGTTCTCCTTTACTAGAACAAACTGGATGGCATACTCATGAGCAGTGATTAACAGTTAAGCTGGTACTTGTTCTTCAATCACTTTTCTGAGTGGAGGAAATTACAGCATCGGATCATTCAGCATTGATGTATATCGAGTCTGTAGCAATCCTCTCAGACAGACGGTGTCAGTGAGTTTTAATTGGCTATACGGCTTTCTGTGGGTGGTGCTCCTGAGATCCGAACAGGAAGTGAGGCGCCAGCCCCAGTGCATTGTGGGACTGTCGGTGAGACAGGCACGTGGAGGAGCTCGGTTACAATCAGTGCCGGATCTCATCGTGCGAGATCCATCGATTGAAGGCAACAGAAAGGAAACGAGGAGGGAGATGTCTGAGGAACGAGGGGAGGACAGTGAGTTTGTTCCTGGTGGAGATTCATTAGTTCTGTTGTGTTCCTGAAATGTCCCTCCGTTTATCCAGCGTAGGGTGTTTTTGACTGAAATGTTGACATTTAACCCCTCCCTAAGTTCATTAGCAGCATGCTGTTCCTGTGCAGCAGAAGAGCGAAGCTTCGAGCCAACGTCATAAAGTCAACATGAAACGACGATCACAACCCATAATGTGACGTAAGTCTGGATATTCAGCTGGGATTTTATCCATCAGGAGTTGAGTATATGGTGAGAAGTGGACATTGCATACCAGAATGGCTATTATTGCTGTCATTTGCATTTTATTAACCAGCATTAAGTTACTACATTTACTATTTGCGTAAAAAACTACCTACATGAGTAGCCTTAAAAATGCCCAGATAACTATATGGTTATTATTTATTTATTATATTATTTTTCTCCCAGGGGTCCGTAAGAGAGTTTTGGAAAAGATTGCAAATGTTTACAGAAAAACAGTGTACATACTGGGAATAAAATTAAGAGTAAACAATGATTTTGAATGAATGAATAAATAAATAAATAATGCCAATTAAGATTATTTTAAAGATCGATTAAGATTATTTTTCTCCCACGGAGCCACAAGAGAGTTAAGGGAGTTTTAGGGGATCCATGAAAAAATGTTTACAGAAAAACAGTTTAAATACTGTAAAAATAAATGATAAATTTGATTAAAATATATGTTAAAAATGATTTTGAATAAATAAATACATAAATAAATAAACCAAGAATATTTAACTAAAGTACTATAGTAACTATAAATAAAAAAACATAACTAAAACATTTCCAAATAATATTTTACACATTTATAATATTAATTTTTCACAGTATAAACTGGGTCTTTATACATGAACATATATAGCTGTCTTTTGTTGTTGTTAATATAATTAATCAATTTAAGTGTCTGATTATATGGACAATTTTGTTTCATTTTGAACAATTTTGTATTATTGAATCACACAAAGTTAAGACCATGTAAATGGTAAGTTCACCTAGACATTTATAAAGGTATAGTTCACTTAAAAATTTTATATCTGTATTTAAAATCATCATATTTTTGTGGGTCCATGGCTTCTAAAAGATTGAAAACCCCTGATTATGTGACCCAATTGAAATGTCTTTTTATGGTCAGAGCATGTTATGGTATTTTGATTATCACCAATAGTAACATGCATTGATGACGAAGTCTGTAAACGGGACGTTAACAAAGGCCAGAGACGCTGAAGATGAACACAACGAGGGGAAAATACTGTAGCAGACAGAGCAGCTCACTTGTTCACCATGACAAAGTATTGAACGAAAATCTAAATATTGAATTGGGGGTGGGGCTTTATATAAATGTATCTCTGAGGGGAACTTACTGTCTTCAGAAAAGTTTAGATGTTGCCTCTGTATAATGCATACTGAAGTAGTGTTTATAACCGCATGCGGTAACCAAGAGGCTACAGAGTTTGGCCTGTAACAGAGAAAATAACTTCTTGTTCATGTAGTCATATTTTCATTCTATCTTATCTCTTGCTTTAAAAAATGAAATAAACATTAACATATCAGTATCGGAATCGGCCTGTTCGAAATTGACCATGAAAAATCAAGATTGGTGCATCACTACTGACTTTGGACAGTGTGGACAGTGTTGTGATTCCCATATTTCTATCCAGTGGTGAACTTTAAGAGAAGTATGTTGAATGATGCTGTTAAGTATTGTAATGAATGTTTGTAGTAAAGTGGAAAGCAGCTTTGCTAACAGTAATTCAGTAACTTGACTAATAAATTTGATTATTGTTAAAAGTAGTCTATTAGTACTTTTGTACCAAGTCGATACTGAGGCCTTTCTGCAGCAGTGGTACCAAGTACAGACTCAGTTCAGTACTCGCTGATAGGCGGATGCTTTCAAACGCTTCTGTGCATATTTATATTGCTTTCCGTGAACAGTGATATGCAATGGCCAATCGGAGGTGTTTAAGTGTTTAAGTTTTTCACTTGACCCTTTTAAAGCAATACTGATTAATGATTAATTTATTTTTATTTTGAAATAGTTAAATACTTTCAATATTTTTTTTGGTATGGTACTGAAAATCATTTGTTGTAATGTATAATTAAGAGCTCATATTAAAGAACTGATTTTATAGTTATGTCATGACCATAAACTGTATGTTTTTAAAGACTTTTGGAGAGAGGAATATGTTACTTTAGGGTGTGTTCCTTGTAGTTAATTCCCATTTCTATTTACATTAAAAATGTCCTGGAAAAGTCCTCCAAGTCCTGGAAAATTATCACTGAAAAAGAGTGGGAACCCTATAAGTGCACAATAAGATCAGGATTGTGTGTTAGGAAAGTAAAAGGAGTCCATTTTGATTTCATGTTGACTTTAAGCTCGATATAAATGTGATAATCCAGGCTGAGCGATTATCACGCAGAATACAGACGAACGCATGTAAGTTAATAAAGCCAGCCTGCATTAAATGTGTATCGTCTTATTGGAAAAGTACTTTTGCTAAAAACCAACAGTAAATAGTTCTTTAGACTTCAGATCAGCACTTCAGTCTGTTCACACTGAAACTGAATCACTGTAATCCAGTTCCAGTCTCCGTTTCCCATTCTTTAGGCTTTAGATCAGCTCTTCAGTCCATTCACACTGAAACCGAATCACTGTAATCCAGTTCCAGTCTCTGTTTCCCATTCTTTAGGCTTTAGATCAGCTCTTTTGTCTGTTCACACTGAAACTGAATCACTGTAATCCAGTCTCAGTCTCCGTTTCCCATTATTTAGGCTTTAGATCAGCTCTTCAGTCTGTTCACACTGAAACCAAATTACTGTAATCCGGTTTCAGTCTCCGTTCCCATTCTTTAGGCTTTAGATCAGCTCTTCAGTCTGTTCACACTGAAACCAAATTACTGTAATCCGGTTTCAGTCTCCGTTCCCATTCTTTAGGCTTTAGATCAGCTCTTCAGTCTGTTCACACTGAAACCAAATTACTGTAATCCGGTTTCAGTCTCCGTTCCCATTCTTTAGGCTTTAGATCAGCTCTTTAGTCTGTTCACACTGAAACCAAATTACTGTAATCCAGTTTCAGTCTCCGTTTCCCATTCTTTAGGCTTTAGATCAGCTCTTTTGTCTGTTCACACTGAAACTGAATCACTGTAATCCAGTTCCAGTCTGTTTCCCATTCTTTAGGCTTTAGATCAGCTCTTCAGTCCATTCACACTGAAACCGAATCGCCGTAATCTGGTTTCAGTATCCGTTTCCCACATGTAAATGCGGTTCCTCAGAGGAAGGGGTTGTGGCTTTGGCCGGGGTGTTGTGTTTGTTGGGTGGAGGCTGTGAGGGGCAGCAGCGGCTGCGGCAGGTTGCCGGGTATGTCCAGCAGGCCGTGGTGCGGCTGCGTGTAGGAAGAGGGCAGAGTCTGGGGCCTCTGCTGCAGGACTGGCAGCGGGAGGGAGGCGCTGTAGGACAGAGCATGAGCCGGCAGCGGCGACGTGGAGTGAGGACGCATCTGATTCAGAGTCAGTCTGGGCTGCTCACAGTGAAAGGGGTTTGTGGGAGACGGTGTGCTCAAACCTGCACAAGACACCCAACGCAAAATATCATTATAGTCTCTTCTGCTCACCAAGGCAGCATTAATTTGATCAAAAATGCAGTACAATCAGTAAAATTGTGAAATATTATTACAATTAAAATTAAATGTTGTCTATGTGCATATATTTTAAAGTGTAATTTATTGCTGTGATCAAAGCTGTATTTTCATCATCATTACTCCAGTCTTCAGTGTCACATGATCTTCAGAAATCATTCTAATATGCTGATTTGCAACCAAATTACTGTAATCCAGTTTCAGTCTCCGTTTCCCATTCTTTAGGCTTTAGATCAGCTCTTTAGTCCATTCACACTGAAACTGAATCACTGTAATCCAGTTCCAGTCTCTGTTTCCCATTATTTAGGCTTTAGATCAGCTCTTCAGTCCGTTCACACTGAAACCAAATTACTGTAATCCGGTTTCAGTCTCCGTTTCCCATCTTTAGGCTTTAGATCAGCTCTTCAGTCCATTCACACTGAAACCGAATCGCCGTAATCTGGTTTCAGTATCCGTTTCCCACATGTAAATGCGGTTCCTCAGAGGAAGGGGTTGTGGCTTTGGCCGGGGTGTTGTGTTTGTTGGGTGGAGGCTGTGAGGGGCAGCAGCGGCTGCGGCAGGTTGCCGGGTATGTCCAGCAGGCCGTGGTGCGGCTGCGTGTAGGAAGAGGGCAGAGTCTGGGGCCTCTGCTGCAGGACTGGCAGCGGGAGGGAGGCGCTGTAGGACAGAGCATGAGCCGGCAGCGGCGACGTGGAGTGAGGACGCATCTGATTCAGAGTCAGTCTGGGCTGCTCACAGTGAAAGGGGTTTGTGGGAGACGGTGTGCTCAAACCTGCACAAGACACCCAACGCAAAATATCATTATAGTCTCTTCTGCTCACCAAGGCAGCATTAATTTGATCAAAAATGCAGTACAATCAGTAAAATTGTGAAATATTATTACAATTAAAATTAAATGTTGTCTATGTGCATATATTTTAAAGTGTAATTTATTGCTGTGATCAAAGCTGTATTTTCATCATCATTACTCCAGTCTTCAGTGTCACATGATCTTCAGAAATCATTCTAATATGCTGATTTGCTGCTCAAGAAACATTTCTGCTTATTATCAATGTTGAAAACAGTTGCTGAATATTTTTGTGGAAACCGTGAGACATTTTATTTTCCAGGATTCTTTGATGAATAGAAATTCAAAAGAACAGCATTTATTTGAAGAAGAAATCTTTTGATCAATTTAATGCAGCCTTGATCAATAAAAGTATTAATTTCTCTCAAAGAAATCTTATTGAACCCCAAACGTCATGAGAAGGAAAATTGCATGAAATACTATGACTTTTCAGAGAATATCTTATAATAAAGTTAATTTCTTCTTTCCCACTTTTAAACATATATCTAAATAAATGAAAAAATAATAAATATAATTATAAAAATAACAGAATAAATAACTAATAATTTTGTTAGTTATGCTTAAAACGAGGAAACAGCTTCATTTTTTAATTTTCAAAAGTGAAATATTTTTCTTTACGCTGATGAAACATTTTATTACGCTGATTTTATCAGTTAAAGCAACTTTATAAAACAACTTTTTATTACTATTTACTGAAAAGATTACTTTATTAACTGTAAGTTAAGAAAACAAATGAATCAAATACAATATGATGTTATAAGATGGACAAATAAGATGCACAAAAAGCCTGTTAATAATAAAAAAATAAATTAAATCAAGATGACCCTTGAATCATGCTCTTTGTACTTTCTAAATGAAAGATCAAAATTAAATTCCAAAGTTCTGAACAAAATTGTGAGGAATAAATAAAAAAGGAGTATGTAAAGTATTTTGCATTGTAAATGTAATTGCATAACATTATTTGGCTTTATATAAAGTACTCAAAAGCACTCAAAAAACTTCAAAAGCACTCAATAAAACAATAAATTCCCCAAAACAATAAGTGCGTGTGAGTGTGAATGTTTTCCTACCTGACAGGAAGGGGTTTTTGTTCTTGACCGGCGCATTGCTGGGAATAAGTGTGTCCAGGTTGACGAGGGAGGCAGCGGTGGGGCCGAGGAATGCCTTGGGGGTCCGGCACTGTCTGGGGGTCACCACGTCCAGAGGGGGCCCGAGGCGAAAGAGGTCAAAGGTCTCTGGACTGTCATTTCCCCGTCCGTTCACTTGAACACCAGCCACCAACTCACCGAACTGATCGGCATCTGAAATGATAGATGAGAATGAGCTGCAGCTCGACTCCGAGAGGAAAACAAATGAGAAGAGGGTCTGGTTTGGTGTGATGAGGACCTGCAGGACTCTCACAGCGAGGACTGAACACTTGGTTTGGCCCCGCCTGCTCCACTATAGGCCCCTCCCCTTCTACCATAAGCCCCTCCTCCTCGGGAATACTAAACGGGTCCTTCACACTCGACACTGGAAGGAAGAGCAAAGAATATAGAGATGGATCTCATGAGCCACCATCATTTACATATTTAAAGTGAATAAAAGCATAAAAACTACAAGTTCTATCTCACGATCGTTTTTTCATGCAATTGCGAGTTTACATCTCACAAATAATAGCTGCAAGATATAAACCGGCTATTACACGATAAAAAGTTGCATTTTTAATATTGTTATTCTGTGGCAGAAATACGTTTTCATAGATTACGCTTCTGAGGCAGGAAAAGCCTTTTTTTGCACTTTATGCAAACTCTAAACGAATGCATTATTTCAATTAAAAGGGTTGGCGCTACGAAAACTTGGTCAAAAATGTATTTCACTTTGGTTTTTAACATGAGGTGTTGTACCTGGTCGTGCTGGGCTCCTCCAGGCTTCTTCATCCATATTAGAGATGGAGTTTGAAGGCGGGGCATCCCAGGGTTCAGGACGTGATTGGTGGGTTCCCCACGGGTGGGCGGGGCTACTGGAGGAAGGGCGGGCAGTCCAGGGACTATCAGCCCCTGGGTTACTAGACTTAACTACAGCTGAAACAGACACGACCAGATCTAAATACAGCCGCACAAAAAAGTCCTTGGAATATTTTGTATTACTGTTGAGTTACAAACCCTCAAATCGTGTGAATATCGTTTGAATTGCATAGATTCCGATTCCGTTTATCGATTCCTAGTTTAGATTCCAATAAGGTATTAAAAAAAGTCAACCATTTAGATGTCGAGCATATTTTTTCTGTCATTGTGCGCGACACACAAAACATTGCACAAGGTCTTTCCCTTTTGCGCTTAAATGGTTTAAAATCACATTAGAATGCGAACGCAGGAATCGTTAAGCGGAATCGAAATGTCTTATCGAATACCCGGTTCTTGGAAATTTGAAACCGGTTCTAAAATGGAACCAGTTCTCGATACCCAAACCTACTCAAAACTAAATTTATTTTTGGATATTTTTACGGTCTACCTTGAAATGTGGTTGAAATAATGTCAGTTGTTGTTCAACGTTGATAAAACATCGAAACAACGCTGAAACAATGTTTAATGTTAAATAGTTTTAAACAGTTAAAAAAGTACTATAAATAAATGTTTAAATTTTAACTTTTTTTTACAGTTTAATGAAACCTAAAGAAGCATTCACACTGTGACCACAAAATCATTTTTAGATATTTTTACTTGGCCGATTTTCTACGTTAAATTGTGGTTGAAATAATGTTTAATGGTAAATCGTGTTAAATGGTTAACAAAATAATGATAAATCAAACATTAACAAGATCTGTATGAAAAATAAGACATTACGGGAAAAAAAATTGAAAAAACATTACGATATCAACACAACCAGATCAAAAATAATCTTTTTTTTTATAGCCTTTCAGTTATTATGTGTCCTAACAAGATGACTTTTGAGATATTTTTGAAATGACCAACCTTCTGCATTGAAATGTGACTGAAATAATGTCAGTTACCGTCAGTTTCAATGTTGATAAAAACGTTGAAACAACGTCTAATGCAAAATAGTTTTAAAAGGTTAACGAACTTTTCAACGAAGTCAACGTTGAAATTAACATTTTTTTCCAGCTGAATGAAACACTGTGACCACAAGAGATCTGCGGCGACCTGATGAGGAAATCGCCGACTGTTATTAAAAACGAATGACTGCGAATCACAGTACTGAATACGCTCATCACTGACCGACAGACTCCCAGGGGTCAGAGTTCACGGGGCAGGTGGGCGGGGCGTCCCAGGGGTCCGCGGGACCAAATATATCCACCAGATCGATCTTGGCTGACTGTGGGATGAAAGCCAGCGTCAGTCGGTCAGAAGCTCAGCAGATCGTGCAGATGTTGAGTGTCTCTCTCACCTCTGAAGGCCGCGGGTCTCGCTCGCCCTTACTCTCCTCCAGAACCTTCTGCAGATGAGCGTCGTCCCCCTGATGGCCGCGCTGCTCCTTCAGGAGACAAAACAAGCTCAAGCCGATGCTGTTCGTTAGTGGAAGCATTCATTAGGATTAAAGAAGCAGGAGGTTAATGAGCGCCGTGACATTCACAGAAAACACTGCAGGAGAAATACAGCTGAGGAACAGGGACATATCATCATCAGAGGAGGAAAAATCAGTTAGTACGTGTTAAACAAAGAAGTTAGAACATGTGGAAAATACAGAAAACAAAAATAAAGAAATTCTAAAGGCCTTCTTAATGGTTTAATCCAGCGTTTCTCAAGCTTTTTGCCCCACGATGGCCAACATACTGGCTTGTTTTAAACCTTTTTATTAATAGAACCTGGGAGTATTGATATATTATGTAATATTATAGTAACCGTGATTCATTTTGTGACTTACTGAGTTTCAAGAACTGTGTTTTTCAATTAAAAACAGCAGTTACTGTGGGGGGGAAGTGTTTGACTATTTTAATATATTAACAATAATTAAACAAACAGCTATTGAGGAGGAAAAATAATAATTAATTAATTAAAGAACAATAATATTATTACAGTTGTAAATAGAATTATTAAATAATATATAGCATACTAAATACATTTCTGTTTACATCTTGATTGCAGTTTTTGCATTTTAATTTAGAATTTAACTGTTTTAATATATTATTAATAATTATTAATTAAAAAAATGAATTTCCCTCTTGGTTTCAAGAATTCTTTGTTATTCAATTAGAAACAACAGTTATTGAGGGGAAATTTGTTAATTATTTGTAATAATTTATTGTTTTTTATTACAATATACATTGTACTATTATAAATGGATTAAATTTCAGTTTACTTTTTTTTTTCAATGCATAGTTTGAATATTTTAAATATTTTTCAGACTCATCTTGAGGACCCTGAAACACGCCGCGGTTCCTCAGATACCTGCACAGAGACACTGGATGCCCTGCTGCGTCTCCATGACAACAGCTGAAGGACACACCGAACGGCAGGCAGTGATTGGCTGTTGTGGAAGGGCGTGTCAGTGGTCAGTGCTCACATCGAGCCGAACGCTGCGGTGGATTTGGATTAATCACGGTTATTTTCAGCAGCGATCGTGGTTTCTGCACTTCCTCCATGTCCTGTGAGAACGCAAATATTCCTGAAACAGCAGGAAAGGTCAACAGGAAAACTCCTCCTGCTCGTCTTTCTCCTCGCGTTTCCTCCTCTGTGCTCACACACACACACACACACACACACACTCA